TTTAGACTTACTGATGGTTTTAAAGTTGCTCCTTCTTCCTGCTTTCATCTTTACATGTTAATAAAACCACTTGCAACCATAGAAAAAAGGAAGAAAAGGAGTTTTGAACAGATTCAAAGTGGGAAATCTTGTGACTGGATGAATGAATGGAAGATACACTAACTAGTTGGTGTCCTAAAAAATGTCAAGTTAACCCTGACAGCTTTATTAGGATCCTGGAGTGTTTTTTTCTCTTTTAGATGTAAAATGTCCTGAAACTAATCGTAACTAAATTTGAAACATTCTGGATCTCAACTTGTTTCCTTCAGGTCTCCTCAAAAGAAGGAAAACCCAACTGTCAGGTGCTGACAGACCTGGTGAGTCCTTCTGAACCTGTCACAACCAAAAAGAACCTGTTTGAAGCTGGAGAAGCCTGGAACCAAAACATCTTTTCAGTTCCATCAAAGGTCAGCAAGACATTTCACATTAATCTGATACAGACATGCTGCTTCTTCTTATGTATGAATGTACTGTAAATGAGCACACAATTTATGATTTATGTTTAAAAAGAACAAAGTACTTTAATTGAAATGTTCATAAATTCACGTTATACAAAAAGTAACCAGAGTTCATTTTGCTTGTTGAAATATAGCCTTCAAGATTAAAAAATAAAATGAATATATTCAAAAGAATAAATGCAGCAACCATTTATTTGATATAAAGTAATTATTTATGGCACCAGGATGTTTATGTGTGCTTATGGTTCTTGGATTAACAAGGAAACAGCTCAGGTAGTTTAGATGTTGTCATAGTCATTTAACAAAGTTCTAAAAAAATTGATAAAAAGTTCCTAAACAAATCAGGAAATCTCTGGAAAAAAATGGTTTGTCCATTTTTTTTCCATAATTTTGAACAGACTCAAGGTAGGAAATCTGGTGACGTGACAGGTTTTACAGAAATTCAGGAATGTGTTTTTGTATTTTGTTCCAGGATGCAGATGGTTTAAAAGTTGGTGTGGCTGATCTCATCCACCAGTGGGTTAAAGGAGGTGAAGATGGAAGCAGGAGTAACTCTCCTTCAAAGCCAGCAGTGAGTSTTGTTTTAAATTTGTCCAGAATACTGAAACTAATTCATGTTTTTTACTGTCAGGAAAAACAGAAAATTGACTTTTTTTTAGGTAGTTTGACAGATWTTTTTCTCCCACATTTAGGTTTTGGTTTCTGTTCACTTTCATTTAGTCAATGCCGTCGAGCAAAATCAAAGATGCCCACCACTTTTCTGTTGAAAGGATAAAGAATGACAGATCATGGAAGTTCTGAGAACTTATTTCCAACTAATAATGGCCATCTGTCTAAATCTTAGAAAAACTCAGATAATTCCATTATTTTATGTGGAAAACATCACATTAATGTTTCAGCTTTGGACAATAAGATCTTAAGTTTTCTAAGTTTATGATTTCCAGATGTTGCCTTCTGCCAACCATGAGCCAGTTGTTGACACTCTACTTCAGATGTTTATCATTGATTTTCACTGCTACAGGCTTAAAGCACGTGAGTTAATGTTTAGCATATTCAAGATGCAGCCTGAAGCATCTCCCGCCAAGAACATTTACAGTAAAACTTTGAAGCGACRTCGCCTTTAAATCATGTCTTGTCATTTTGATTTATCTCAAAGCTGCTTTCAGTCTTCACTGCTGAGTCATTCTGTGCTTCATGGTTCTCCATCTGGTGTTAATCAGAGCAGTCAGCATAATTTTGCCTCCTTGTGGCAGCTACGTTTACATACAGATCATTATGACAAAGAGAACTAATCAGAGTTTTCCTCATTTTTAGGAAATAAGACCTGGTGGCGTTTTAAACAAGAAGAACTTGTGGGAGAACCTTGGTGACAATTTATCCTTGACAGRAGATGGAAAGGTACTCATCAGTGCCCCTGAATTTAAAGTATCTGTTTTTTATTGAAGGCACCAGGTTGTGTTTTTCTGCTATAAACACATATTAATCTGCTCATGTGATCTCAAAAAATCTTAACACATAAAAAACATTTTTTAGGTTTGGCTTGAAATGTGTAAAATTAAATGAACAATAAAAACTAAAATATGAAAAAGTCTAGGCTGTAGTCGAAGGCAAGGACATTGGCGATCTGATCCTCAGCTGYAGAAGTTGGCTCTAGGGATGTGGAATGTTGCCTCTCTCATTGGGAAGGAGCCTGAGCTGGTGTGTGAGGTTGAGAGGTTCCAGCTAGATATAGTTGGACTCACCTCGATGGAGGATTGGGCACTCTCTCACTCTGGAGTTGTCCATGCTGAGAGGCATGGGTGGGCATACTTGACGCCCCTCACCTTGGTACCTTTACATTGGGGTTCAGACCGGTGAACAGAGGGTAGCCTCCATCTGCCTACAATTGTGAGTGAGTGTGTGTGTGTGGGTGTGTGTGTGTGTGTGTGTGTGTGTGTGCGCGCGCGCGCGTGTGTGTGTGTAAGTAAACCCAGCTGGTACTAAATAGACACGGCAGCAAATAAAGATTAAATATGAAAACACAGTAAAATCATGTACGGTCAGGTAAAAGCTCTTCTGTTC